AATGAATTCAAAGCTCCTAGGACTGGATATGAGGAGACCTCCATTCTAGCCCAGCTCTGTATTTAATTGAATGTGCAACTTCAGTCTGGGGCTCAGTCATATCAAACCCAAGGAACAGTTGACACCTGTCCCCATGCCATGCTCAGTATAACCTGTGCATCTGCAGAGGAGGGTCAAGGGCTGGGGGAAGGTGTGGGATGAGGGAGACCCTGGACAGGCCAGCCTCAGGTCTCCCGCCCTCTTCAAACACAGCCACCTTACCTTTAGTTATTTATGTACTAGGTTCCCAAATAAGACTTTGTGTGCAAAGGGGCTTTTATAACCAAGACAAAGGTTTAAAACTATAGAAGTAGATAAACTGTCCAGTCCTCTCAGCTAGATTCCTACATCTGTTAAAAAGGACCCACCCCCTCAATGACCTACTCCCAGTCCGCCTCTGCAGATTCAGCTTCCTCGATCCCCAAAGTGGCCTTTGTGTGTCAACGCAGCTAAGCCTTGCATCTGCTTATAACTGCCCTTTCTCATGTTTTTTTCTGCCTGGAAAAACCCAGCTCAACCTTAAGATGCAGCTCAAAAGTCATACCCCTTCCTCTCTGCTCCCCCATCAATCAAAGACCCATATTCCCAAGGACCAAGCTGACCCACAGAGCTCCAAGGGCACCTCATAAATACTCTGTAGCATTAAAACCCGCCATGTGGAATCATCTGTTTATTCAACTCTTTCCTGACTGAAACATAGATGCTTCACAGTCAGGAGACATGCCTTACTTACCGTGTGTCTCTGGTATTCACTACCGTGATCAGTTTAGCAGGCACTTAACAATGTGCAACACATAAAGGAAGGAAATTGGAAAGTCAGGAATTACTTAGGAAATTGGTAAGTTAGTTGATAAGTAGGTTAGAAAATTAGTCTAGAAGCTAAACTACATGTTAATGAGAAAACCTCTTTATCTGAGTAGAGAAATTAACATTCAAGTGTGAACAACCACTGGATTAAATCTTTCCAGGTAAATGAATACTTTAAAAAAGTAGCTATCTATCTAATGACTTTCTTTGGTGGACTGTGGAGGGGAATACATTTCTTTACTCAAGAGACCCTTCTCTGCCACTTGTCTACTCTCAGCTGGGTCTTTCTCCTTTATATTCTCTTAGGTTGGAGAATATTGGCCTCCTGGTTCTAAGAAAAGCATAGAGAGCCAGGGCAGGCTGTGAGTGAAGGGATGAAGTTAGAGGAGGAGGAACACATAGTGATATTCTACAATTGTGTGGCATAGTCTCAGGCACAGCAAGTAAGTTCAACAAAGTACATAGTCTCTCGGGTTTAACCTGAGGCTGATCTAGTGTGCTGATGTATGATAGAGCCATAGACTCTCTGAGTTGGAAAGAATTCACATTGAAAGGGACTGAATTTTTCTGAGCCCCAAATCATGCACCACTTGAAGTACACATGAGATGGCTTATAGAGAATATTCCAAATATGGAACCTCCTGATATCTTGACCCAATCCTCTTTTCAATGTGTAAGTCTGACTGCCTTTTAGGCTGTCAATGTGTCCATATAATCAAAAATAGTTTAGGGAATAAAAGTAGAATACTAGGTTTATGACAAAATGAAAACATGGATACATTTGTAATGTACTTAAAGAGTGGGTAATTGAAAAGGATATCAGAGTTACAAGCTATAAGAAATTACTCATTTCCTCTAGTCCTGCTGAAATGAATCCTCCATATTTCTCAAGGATCTAGTCCTGCTATCTCTGAACAACTCCAATGGGAAAACTTCCATCATGTGGTCTGCATGGCACAGTCCCACACTAATGGCTATCTGGACCTCAACATTGTACTCTATATTGACTCTCTCCAGCTATACAGTTATACTTTTGGAGTCGATGTGCCTCTTCCTCTCCAATCACTTGATGGGTAGCCAAGGAATACAAAATCTCTTTGACACTAGCCCAGGCAAATATGATTAGGAAGGTAACTCTGGGGGAAGAACTTTTTAAATACATACTAAATTGAATAAGGATTGTTTAGAAATGTATCTCTCCTTTAAAATAGTGATTCTTCACCCAGTGCACCAAATCAACTTTGAGTAATAAATACTTTGCTTCCTTTACTATCATGAAATGCAAACTAGAGCTAATGTTACCTTCCTATAGAATGTGCCCTAAGTAATGAAATATAAATGAAGGAAAAGCAATTTCTAATAAAAAATATTTATTTCAATGTGTGAATGCTGGGGCATAAGTGTTTTAGGAGACCCACTGAAATCATCAGATGTTTGCTGGCATCTGTAGAACCACTATGAACTTGGGAGTGTGCATTAGGTCCCTCCCTAACACCTAATGATGTCTTGGCTATTCAGTTCTGATGGTGAAGAGAGTATTTTAACATTTGATTTGGCAGATCAAATATTAAGAAGAGGATGTTTGATTGCACAAACTCCACAATACTGCCTTTCCAAATTAAATTTGCAAATTGATGCTTGCTGCAAAAGTATTGCTTGGAAAAATTCCATTCATAATCCTTATATATTATTAGGGGGTAAAGGTAGGTGGAGAGAAGATACTCATACAACATATAAGAGTTATTGGCTAAAATTGTGGATCCTACACCAAAGACAAGTTAGTTGCCTCCTAATCCCTTCCTCAGGCTGCGCTAAAAGAGCAACCTACTCTGTGTGTGTGAAGTCAGCTCTCTTCAGGGGAAGAAAACACAAAAGTTCTCCAAGAGAGAAAATGTCATCTAGTCCTCATACTTGGTGCTTATACACCCTACAATTTCCTCACGGAAGCGTTCTTCAGGTCTTCCTCCCAAGACCACATCCTCGTAATTCTAGACTCCCTGTAACAATTCAAACATCAAGTGTTAGAAGCAGTAATTTAGAAAGGAGGTTTGACTCCTCAGGGTAAACCCTGTGACAACAACAAGGAGAAACAACTGATCTTCTGATCTCCAGGAAGGAGATGGAAAACTGTTGTACAAAGTGGAAGGAGAGGAGCTGAGACAGGAACTCAAAATAAACAGTAGCCTGGGCCATTTAATGTAGGGACAAACAGCTCTGCTAACCCTTGTAGCATCTCTGTAATACCAGACAGCATAGTAATTAATGTAAAAGAAAATTTGGATTATGCTTAATGTGTTTCGCAGCAAAATTTAATATAGCAGGTGAAATCCTAGGGTGGTGAAGTAGGAAGGCCCTTCAGAGAGCATCCCGGTCCAATCCCTTTGTTTTTACAAAGAAGGAAGCAGAATTGAAAAGGTGGAACAGGTCCGAGGTAGAGTTGAGACAACAGTGCAGCCCAACTGGTCCAGGGCTCCTTCCATATGGACACACCACCCTGATAACTGATGTCACTTAGAGGAAGGAGAGGAGACGTTGCATCACTGTGTTTCATCTTTCACTGCAGTGTCACTGCTTTTGGCATCACTATTTTTGCTTCTTTGCATTGATGTCTCCCCTTCTAAAGGAGAAGAAACCTGCTGTCTTTATTCACAAAAGAGTGAACTGTTGTTCTCTGATTTGTGATGAGAGAGCTTCAGGGTTGGCCCTTAACAAAACTGGGACTGAAGGTGAAGTTCGCTTTGAGTTCCCTCTGACATTCTCCTACATCCCATTCCTGCTGTGTTTCCTCCAACCTGTCCTATATCTGTCCTCCAACCTGGTACCCCACCCACTGGCCTCACATCCAGAGCTCCCAGCACGATGTAGGAAACTCTCCCAACCCCCAGAAGTCTGGTGTATTCCCAGACTCTTTCTAATTTGATCTCGAACTCCATTAAACAGAGAATGAGGCAATATATGAATGTTTTTCAAATATAAGTAGCAAGCTTATTAAAATTCAGATTCCTGGTACCCATTACCAATATTATGATTCAACAGGTAATTCTGGTTGAAGTGGGCCCTGACCCTCCAAGTACCCACTATACACATACTCCCCTCCACTCAAATATTTCATACTATCTCCCTCTGCTATATCTTTACCTCATGTTCTGCCTCTTTGTCCAATTAATTCCTCCATATTCCTCTAAGCCAGCTCATGCACACTCCTCTCCTCTCCGCTCTCATTCCTATACATTTCTCTGTCACTGAGCTGAATAAAGCCCGCCATGTGTGCTGATTTTCTGGGGCATCTCTTCTCGAGGGCAAGGCCATGTCTTACTGGTCTTTTTTTTTAATCCCAGCACTTAGCAACTTGACAGGTACTCTAAAAGTGTTCATTAAATAATCTTTTGCATGTACTAAATTTCCTTGTTAATAGCTAGCCTTTTAGTCCTGGCTGGGTTGCTCAGTTGGTTGGAGCATCATCCTGTGCCAGTGTTTTAGTTTTGATCCCCAGAGGGGGCATACACAAGAATTAAGCAATAAGTGCATCAACGAGTGGAACAACAAACTTCTCTCTCCTCTTTCTCTCTCTGTCTTTCTCTCTCTGCACCCCCCACCCATCACCCTTTCCTCTCTCTCTCAAATCAGTAAATAAAAATTTAAAATTTTTTTGAAAAATAACTAGTTGTTCATTATAATTGAAATTTTTATCAGCTCCCTAGACATCAAATCACTGCAAGTATTACTCTCAAATGAGATGCATCTTCTGCAGTATGTAAAAATGAAAGAGAAGAATGTTATACATAATCTAACCCTGGTGCCAACAGTTGTGGGGGTCATAACAAGTTAGGCCCACATTCACACAGGATATCTAACACCTAAGGAGTAATGCCAGAAAAACATAATACAAATGCAAATTTTTCTAAATAAATAAGATCAGTTTGTAATAGTTCCTTAAAATTAGTTCTGATTGCCTTCCAGGCATTCGGGTTAAAAAGTTTTCAGGAGTGAGTTTTGAAAACATTACTGGTGTTGAATTGATTCATATACATAAAACTTTCTGTATTTGTTCTATAATCCTGGAGATTCCCAGCATTTTCTACCCAAAATGTTTAGTCACCAAGGGGTTAGCTCATCTCCTGAAGTTCCCCACCCATGTGTGTTTGTCCATGCAGGTGTTTGCTATGCCGAGTTTGGAGTCCGAGTCCCAAAGACCACAGGGTCGGCCTACACCTACAGCTATGTCACTGTGGGGGAGTTTGTGGCATTTTTCATCGGCTGGAACCTGATCCTGGAGTACCTGATTGGCACTGCAGCTGGCGCCAGTGCTCTGAGCAGCATGTTTGACTCACTGGCAAACCACACCTTCAGCCGCTGGATGGTAAACAGCGTGGGAACCCTCAATGGCCTGGGTGAGACTGCCATATCCTCTCACCCAGACTTGCAGACCTGAAGAGCCAAATAAATGTGCTTCCCCTTTCAGGACACAGTTTGGTAAAAACATAACAAGAGCCTTAAATGTGTCTCCTTCTTTCTTTCTTTTTTTTTTTTTGCAAAGTAATTCTTCCCCTCTGAATGTATTCTAAGGAAATCAGTCTAATTTCCATAAGGCTTTCTGCAAAAAGATGTTCATCACAGCCTTATTTATAGCAACCAAAAATTAGAAACAGCCTAAATATTCTACAGTGGAGCAAATGACTAAGTAAATTGTGGAAGCATATTATGTAGCTAGAAATTAAAAGAATGACTAGGAAGACTGTTGTAATAACATGGAATGTTTTTAATGCAAGGCATGTGACAAAGGATGCAAATTGCACATGTATTATGTTAATAACTATATAAAAATAAAACTAATGCAGTAAGAACTGTAAAGAAATTCTTCAGTGGTTTCCTCAGCAGATTCTTAAAATTTTCATAAATTAGCAAATATTAACTCTTAAATGAGAATATACATTGTTAAAATGGAGCAAAATGGATTCTGGTCTAGCAGAGGTCAAGATTGGGTAATGGAACTGAGTGAATACTAAACAATAATAAGCTCCCATAACAATTACCTTGAGACTTCAGGCTCTGTCCATCACTTGCCATCCACTTTCCATTCTTATGTCTGACTTTATCTTTTCACATTCATGGGAAGCTAGACATTAGTTGAGGAAGCTTTGGGGTCTTGTCCCAGAACTTCCAGGGACTAGTTCTGGGGATCATTGCAAGTCATTTAACTCCAGTGTCCCTATCTCTGAAGAAATGACAAAAATGCTGAATATCCAGATCCCAGGAGAAGATAAAAATATATGAAGACCCCATCTCCTCATATGCTGATTTCATAGAATTTTAGGTCTATAAGTGTCCTCCAAAATCAGGCAATCAAAGCCCCTAACTTTATAGGTGAGGTCCAGAGAAATGAGACACTTGCCCAAAGAGTTGGACAGTCCTGGCTTTGGGTTCTGTGTGCTTGCTTACCCTATGTGCTTAACAGCAATTTAGTCTAATTTGACCTCTCTGGTTATGGGCAAAAGTACAGCTGAAATCTGGGAGCCTGGCTACTGAGGCTGTGCCTTTTCCACTCTATAGAGGGCAGGAGTCCACTGGCTAACAGACAAGACCTAGCAGGCAGGGCGTGTTCACTGGTCATTTTCTCTTCAACCACATACGCATAAATGGAAAGTACACCCTTCTTCCCATAGTTTTCAAAGACATACATTTCAAATTTTTCTAGTAATGAAAACATTGCTGGACTGGAAAGGAAAATTTGTGGACCATAGAATACACAAAAATGAAGATAAAGCAGCTTTCAAATAACATGTTAAACCTATATCTACATGCCAAATATCCCAGGACAGTCCTAACTTCAAATGATCTGTATCATGGCTCCATAGGACTCTTGTGATTGTCCTACCACGTAACCCAATTTTCAGTCCAGGATACGAGGTCATCTTACCTATATACCAAAACCTGCACATGTGCAAATAAACACTTGTAGACCACAGTGTAGGCACACATGTATGTACTCACACACATGCACACACAGAGTTTTTCCTCTGGCCGTGATGAACTGACCACCCTTCTCAGAGCAGAGTGCAGATGGCCCGGGATAGGGCTGGGAGTTTGCATGGCCTCTTATCCCTCGGGACATTTTTAACTCATGTCTTTGCCCTCTAGGTAAAGGTGAAGAGTCATACCCAGACTTTCTGGCTCTGGTGATCGCTGTCATTGTCACCATCATCGTTGCGCTGGGGGTGAAGAACTCTGTGGGCTTCAACAACGTCCTCAACGTGCTGAACCTGGCAGTATGGGTGTTCATCATGATTGCAGGCCTCTTCTTCATCAATAGGAAATACTGGGCTGAAGGCCAGTTCTTGCCCCACGGCTGGTCAGGGGTGAGTTCATTCCTAAATCCTGGTGTACCTGTCACACCCTCTGCCTTCCACCCTGTGACTAGTCTGAGACATATTTTCAAGAAAATGCTGCTCTGTTTCATTATCTTCATGCTACCCTTTTTCTCACTTTTCATTGGAATGTTCTGGAAGAGTGGCTCTTACTTTATTTGTTTCACAAACATTTATTAAGATCCTATTTTATAGATAACAATGGTAGATTTGGTGTGTTGGTCCCTTGCAATATGCCTCCTACTAATTTCTTTGCGTATAACAGCTTATTTAATCTTCCTAGTAACTTGTAAGAAAATATTTACATTCTGGTCTTGCAGATGGAAAAACTCACATGCAGAGAGATCATATGGCTTGCTGTTAAGCATACAGTGTAGGTAAATACAAAAGACCCAAAGCCAGGACTATCTGACTCCAAAACCCATAGAATCTCCCCATAGTCTATTCAGATGACAGTCAGTCCATAAACAAACAAGACAGTAAAGGAAGCGGGGAGAGTGGACGGGTGGGGAAGGGGTGTGTGTTTCCTGGGTATGGAACTAGGGAACAAACAGTTTCAAAATCTAATGCTGCCGTTTGACCCAAGGTGGTTAGTCCCTCAGGGGTCTGAAGGCAGTTGAGTGGGCCCAGTAGGTGCAGGTTGTGAATTCCATTCCAGTGGCATGTTCACACAGACAAGTCCACCTGGTGCGGTCTGGGGGTTGATGAGAGAGAGGGCTGGACCAGAAGGACATTTTCAGATCTCACCCCAGTGACAGGTAGTTCTCAGGTGCACCTGGATTCTTTCTCTAGGATGACTAAAAATGCTCACTTCATGGATTAATTGGTAGAATTTGCTAGCCCATTTTTTTAAACAGTAGAACATAAATCAGAGAATTTTGAGCTGAAAGAGGTCTTAAATGTCACCAGGTCCTGTCCCTTCATTTCACAGGTATAGAAACTGAGGCTGAAAGAGGCAAAACCTGCCTAAAATGGTGGCAGAAGCAAGTCCAGGATTCCTCCAGTTTTGCTTTTGTAGCTTTTGCTTAGACTGTTTTCCTCAAGACATTCATGGACCAGAAATCTCTCTTGGAGAACATTCAAAATAACTTCTGTTATTCTGAACCATGCCATGCTGTTCAATGCAGAGAAATAAGCGAGGAAGCAATTTTAGCCAAGATTTCTAGTCTTCTGCTTATCTGTAAGAATTCCACAGAACCACAAAGTTCATTCTGCCTCCTCGAAGTGGATAAATCCTGAGACTGGTTAAAACCAGAAGAGACAAAGAAACACTGCTGACCCCATTCTAGATCCTCAGAACTATATTTTCTTATGAAACACATTGTTCCTTTCCTGTCAAATAAGAGAAACAACTAATTATAAGAATGACAAAAAAGAATGTTTTTCTGGAATTCAATTACATTTCCATGATAGCACACAAAAAACTGTTCTCACCATTTTCTTAACAATGTAAGAAATTAGTGGGTCATGGACTATAAGACTTCAGCCAACAGCTAACTTCTGTGCTTTCAGGTTTTCTCAGCTATCAAGTGGGAAAACTAGTGGTACCAAATGTTTGCAAAAGAGAATAAAATTTTGGATGTTTTTATGTGCACACTGGGCGGCTAGCAATAGTGATAATGACAGGAGGAAGAAGCTAGGATTTATCCACTACCTAGGTGCTCTGTGAATCATACATTGTTCACTATGAATATTTTATCACTCTTACAACAAAACTCTAATGTATGTGCAGCCATACCCAACTTACAGATTCAGGATCCAAGACTCAGGCTGGGTTACTCACCTGAGGCCACTTAGCTAGTTGGTGCCAGGACTGAATTTCCTGCCCTGGTCTGTGTGGCTCCAGAACCTTTTCTACTACGTCAGTGTGTTGAGTATGATGACCCTCCCTTCTGAGCCTTCTTAAATAAGATAATTAATCTGACATGTTATGTTTTTATTTCCTTTAACCTTTCCTAAAGTCTTAGGGTCTTGGAACGGGGAAATGCATTCCAAGATGGCCTGGTCTCTTATCTTCAAATGGGAGTATAATTAAACCAGCTCGGGCCAAATGTGCACTGACTACCAAGACCTCATGTCAGAACAATTCAAAAACTTTTCTTAAGTACTTGAATCACGTAAAATTTTTCAGATCTTCCTAATAGCTTACCTGAGTGGCACACACCGAGTCCAGCCCCCATGTGGCAACTGGAAAGAGTTCATATCCTCTTGTAAACACCCTTTGCTCATGCTGAAAAAGATGAGTCTTTCAGTCTTTCTTCCTGTGCTATGTCCTGGGGTCTTTACTCTCTTTGGGGGTCTCCTTATTCCTTCTTGGGAGCTCCGCATCATTTCTCATTCAGGAGTCTGCCTCATCAAAGAAGAAGCTAATCAAGCCAGCCTTAGAGGTTCCCCATTTATACGTCCTGAGTTCTCACCAACTTTTATAGCAATAAATGAAGATCAGAAATCAGTGTGAGGATTGACTGTGGAAGCAGGGGTTGGGGTGGGCTGGGCAGAGGAGGGCAAAGGGGAAAAAATTGGGACAACTGTGATAGGATAAACAATAATAAAAAAAGAAAAGACTGTTAATAAAAGCTTTAGTTTTACCATATAAAAGGGAAGATTCCATTCCTAACAGTTAACATTTTCTTTATGACAACTTTTCCACATACAGTTTTCCTTTAATCTTCACAACAGCACTGAAAAATAAATACAATGATCTCTACTTTTACATCAGAATGACTGAAGCTTAGGCCATAGATCTTAATCACAAAAGAAATGAAAGGCAATCCCAGTCCTGGATGAGCCAAAGCCCTTATTTATGTCCTTCACTGTCCACCCCACCACCACCATCGTGGACACATGGGACCAATTGTCTTGTTTTGCTCCTTTGGCCACTGACCTCACTCCAACCCAAACTGACTATCTTGAGGAGGCTTGCCGTTGACCACCAAAAAAGTTTGGCTGAGATTTGGATTTTTCACTGCAAATCCATTTTCCCTGCAGGAAATTCAAATATGTGCCCCAGTGGCCGTGACTAAAAGCATCATCTGAGCACAAGGGCATCCCAGTGCGAAGATGTTGCTGACTCATCCCCTCTGCTATCTGCCTGGCCTTGGATTTCTGCATAGTGCATTTCCTCCCCGGCGAACTGGCCTGGACCTGTTCTTTCTCAACGTTGGTTTCAGGTCACTTTTCCAGTCCAGCAAGACCACTTTGAATATAGATCCAATGTTTTAAGGTCTGACACCTTCTCATGAGCATTTCTTCCACCACGTTAATAAACACACTCCCTACTCTGTTATCTAACAATTGTCGACAAAAGTGCTTACCTGGCAGCTGCATGAATTTCTTCACTCCTTAGGGAAAACTTGACCTACCAGACAAGGGGACTAGTTCGGAGTTCCAGTCCACTTCATTTGCTTTCAGTAGGGTGGCATGGAGGAAACCATGGCGTAGGGGATGGTTAGAAGGCCACCATTACATGACTTGAAATACAATTCTCAGATACTTGGAAAGGGTTAATGAGCACTCTATCCTCTGGCCACGGACCCCTCATAAGCCTTCTCTTCCTCTGCTGCTGCTACTTCTTTCCAAAGAAAATAGCTTAAGGAATGGTTTACTCACTCACAGGTTCTGGGTCAAACGCTTCTTTGGTCTTGAAGAGCTTAAGAACAACAAACATTTCTTCCCTATATCAAGTAACTGCTGGCCCTCAGCTGAACCCCTGCTTCCATCTGCAAACCCTCAGCCCCTGATCACTGTCGATGTGTGTTCCCTGTATGTTGTTTGTTCTTGATGCTATCTTACGGCTTTTCTTTAACCAAAGAAGATGCTCTACAATCACAAATATCTCCCAGGAAAATGGTCCATAGCAAGCATTTGTGGGGAATGCTGACAGCCTTCCAACAAGGAAAAAGTTCTTTTCCACATTTTGCACAGTTGAATCCATTTGTTGGAACCTATTAGCACATTCCACTGTCACTGTGAACAGGCTGCTAATATATCTGGATCTTGAGCATGGTAGAAAATGCTATTAAAGTTGTAGTTTTGTCTTGTTCTACCTTGGGAGCAAATTATATAAAGGTGTCTAATTATCCCCTAGGCACCTGGCAGACTGACTAAGGCATGATATGGCTTGGGAGGGGGTGTGCTGCTCCATCCTAATGCCTCTCAAATGCCTCTCAAATACCTAATACCTTGCAGGATATCAGCAAAGCACAGGGGCTCAGCTTTTAGGGACCCCTCACACTGAGTAGCAGGCCACTAAAGACATCGCTTTGGACAAGTAATTAAGAAGCAGTCCTCCAGCAACTGAGGCACGTGCTGCTTCCCCACAAAGCTCTGTGGAGGCACAGACGGAGCTGGATCACCTGGCTGAGCAGCTACACCAAGTTTCCTCTGGAAAACAACTTTCCCTTGTGTCATCAGAATAAAAAGTCAATACTAATTTTCATTTATGTAAACCATTAAAGGAAAGTTAGGATGAAGTACTGATGACATAACACATCTGTATACACACACATACACACTACCCACCAATTTTATTCACAGATGCTCCCCCAGGTATCACACTTTCCTTCATGCTTGCAAGGGTATCCTAAGCACAAATACCAGTGGCCAGGTCTGAACCCAGGTAGAGTCAGGTGGAAAGCAGTTTTAGTGGTCACTTGAGTACAGATATACCCATACACAGTTTTATTTCATGGATCTTGCCTTTGCTTGCAAGGAAGAACTCATTCAAACTAACTTAAGTAAAAAGGTGACCTTATTTGCTAATTCTACTATCTTCTCCTCGATAATCTGTGTATTTAATCTATAGCTTGTTAGGCCAGGGTCTGTTTGATCTTGTCAGGTGTGCTGGTTTCTCTGCCTTTGCCTCCACTCCCGAGACTCATTCTCCACCCTGCATGCTCTGTTCCGTGCTCCAGAGGACCCCTGCAGTGGCTTCCTGTTGGGTCAGTGGGAGGTATTATCAGGAGATGGAAGGTGAGCAGAGAGCAAGGCCAGAGTATTTCCTCCTCACTCTTGCCCACCCTTAGCTCCTAGAATTTCAATAATCCCTCATTGAAATAATTTTATTTGAACCATCTCAGTTAAATTCTGTTCTCTGCCTAATGCAGTGGAACCTCCCAACATCCTACCTTTGATCTAGCCTGTCTTTCCTTAACCTAATTGTTTCCTAGTTCTATATCTGCAAATTCAGGCTAATAGACATTCTCTTTGCAAACTTTTTCTCTCTCTTCCCAATTTGATTATAGTTCAGTTTCTGGTATCTAATCATTATCAGTGATAGACATCTATTCTTTCACTCATTTAGAAAAGAGTAGCATTTCCTTTTAAAAATATATGTAGATATTTATTCACCTTATTCAGTTTGTTCAGTTTGTTACTACAGTCAAGGCTGCATTTGGGGTTGTGCAGTATTCTTGAGACCCCAAGCCCACAAGGCCAGGGTCAGAGTACTTTTCGCTCATTACTATCTCCACATCACCAAGCACAGTGCCTGGCACATGGAAACACTTAGCAAATATGTGTCAAGAACAAGGAAAAGAAGGAGGGGAAGGATGAGGAGAAAAAATTTGTGCCCTTAATTTTATCTGGTCTACAAAAACTTACAATAGTTATAAAAATACTAGTGGTAAGACATAACACTTATTGAGCAACTACAGTATTCTTGGATTGCAGTGTATTATATTATCTCATTTAATCTTGTAACAACCCTATGAGCTAAGTATTATCACTATCTCCATTCAAGTGATTAAAAAATCTAGGCTCTGAGAGGTTAGAGACTTGTTCTTGCTCATCAACCTAGTATGTGGCAGAACCAATCTGGGTCCGACAGTCTACGAAGTCTGTACTCCTAATCAAGTCTGATTCCACCCACATGCCTGGCTCTGAGATTCCTTCTGGAGCCTACAATATACCTCTCCTCCAACTACTGCGTAGCCCACGCTTGAAAATTAGAAGAAGTCTCTATGACATTCACTGAATCTTCTCTTCTTCAAGTTAGACATCCCCAGGCCCCCAGGTGTCCCTCACGTGGTGTGACTTACAGACTTCTCACTTTTTTCTGAGGTAGATGTGCCCCAAAATTCTTGTTTAGGTCCTTCCCATCCTCCTTTTTTCAACAATGAGCTCTTCTAGTATCAATGAGCTTTTAAATTGACTCAGAACTGACCACACTAAACAGGCATGGAGCTGTAGCCCTGGACATCCTAATTAGGAGTGGTGCACCTTCAGACAGTCACAACAGGTCACTGTATGATTCACAAGAAGGGGGTGTGTAGAGAAAGATGTTAAAGGAAGATAAGCAGGACCTGTTTTCTGGAAGCTGTCTTAAAACAAGGCTTTTCTCAACTGAGGCAGCTAAGCAAGCTTGCAAGCCCAGCATGTGTTCATCCTTAACAAACAGAAACATTTTCCAGATAAGTGAAAACAAGCACATTTCCAAGCCTGCGAGCTTCCGTGTACATCTGTTTTCTCTCCTTGTATGCAGGCCAAAGACATTTTCCATGCCCCGAGATGAAGGGCTTGGCTGGGCTGGGGTCGGGGCTTAGCTCCTCTCCCCGAAAGTAGCTCTCTGGCAATGGGGCTGCTTGTCTGAGGGGTTCTCTTTACCTGAGTTGTTAAAATAGGCCAGGAATCCTTAGATTCTGGGTGGGGAGGGAGGCATGGACTCCTTGGCAGCCTGGTGAAGCCTGTAAACCCCTTCTGAGAATTGTGTTTCTAGATGAATAACCTAATTACATAGGAAATCAAAAGGAATCAATTACATTGAAATACAATTATAAAAATATTTTCAAATTGTGATATAATAACAATGTGTTTCTTTGCTGTACATTAAATATTAACATGTACTTCTAACAACTATCATCATTTGAAAATAAAAATGAGCACAACTGATACTCTAAGCTCTCTGCAATGCCTCTAATGTGGTAGGAAAATGATGCTGTTAGTGACAAAGTTATAGGAACCCTTAGTTTACCACTCCCATTCATAGTGGAAAGAAATGCTTACACTCAGTCAGAGGTTGGTGAAAAGAAAGATGCCATATTTTCTCATCAAACCCACAGACCCCTGAATTGCATGGACCCCAGGATAAGAACTCTCAGTAAGGAAACTGGAATGATAGAGTCCTAATGGAAGAGACTGTAGAAGAGGCCAACTCATTTTGCAGATGAGCAAAGGTTGTTTTTGAAGGTGTGAGATTTTCAACATTGTGATGTACCTTGTAAGTTCTAGTATTGAATATTTTGTTTTTTATTTATTGAGAAGTCATTGCAGATGGTAAGAGTGAAAATTTAGGGAGAGATATCTGCTTGGCATATGTTTTGAATTTCATCACTTAGAACTTGAATGTGCACAAAATTAAACAAAAGGTCCAGTCTGCATAGAGCCTCATTCTTGGACCCCAGGCTAGAGCTTAAATGCTGCAAAGTCGCCTCACCCCATGCCCACAAGTCCAGAAAAATCTCCCTCACCTTCCCCTAAGAGGACACCCCCAAGCGTTCAAAGAAGCACATTTTTTACTTTCAGCTGATAATGAGGACACTAAGGTGGGGAAACTTTATTTACACTTCAGTGGATTCTTCAGAAGAAAGTAACACACTCCTCAGTGGAAGATTTTCACTGACACCTTGACTTATCAAGCCCCACCCACCCGTGGAGTCCTGTGTGCTCCCGACAGTGAGACATCCAGCAGATGTCACTGGACACCACCTCCTCAGCCTTACACCACCTCAGACCTCAGACCCTTTCCTGCCCTGTAGCCCAACTAGGTCACTGAAGCCCCCCAAAAAGCAGAAAAACCAAACCATCTCTACCTGTCTTCTTATAGAAGACAATAGAATATGTGAAGATCTAAGAATCTTCTATATCATTTCAGATCTAGAAGTTACCATAGAGATAATCTGTCAGAGGCACTGATGGTAATTTGGGTAGGACATTCTTTGTGCGGACATCTGAGCTCACTACACTCAATGCCTGAGGCACCCACCCCACATCTCTGTGACAGTCACAAGTACCCCCCATATTGACAAACACCCCCTATGGGTAGACATACAGCCCCTGGCTGTGGCCGACAACCACTGGATAAAAGCATAGAAAGGTTCATCAGTTCCCCCAAGACCTTAGGATGGCCAACTTAGTGATTTTTTATAACCCCACTTATTTCTAAAAATTATTTGAATGTGTTGAATGGCTTGTTTTGATTTGGGCATAACTCTTCTTACCTCCATTTTACACTTGAGGAAATGTGTCACATGGCTAGAAAGTAGAGGAGATCAGAACTGGCATGTTTAGCACAAGTCCCACTGTGTTATCCCTTCTGGCACTCAATAAAGACTGCTGGGCATTGGGCAACAGTGGGTACCACATGTCGGACCCTGGTGCTGCCCTGACACTCTGAGTCTGACAAATGTCATCATCCCTACAGGTGCTGCAAGGAGCAGCCACATGTTTCTACGCTTTCATTGGTTTTGACATCATCGCCACCACTGGAGAGGAGGCCAAAAATCCCAACACGTCCATCCCCTATGCTATCACCGCCTCCCTGGTCATCTGCCTGACAGCATATGTATCTGTAAGTGCCAGATGCTTTCAAGACCTTCCTCCTGGCCTTTTCATGTTTGACCTTAGCATGTGGCTCTGGGACTAGGGTCCCTTCCCCCTGGGAATGATCCTTTTCCTTGTGCCCTCAGCATTTGTGTGCTTGCATCCGTGCTCTGTATATCCTCACCTACCAATGACAAGATGAATGTCAGGACTCCAAACTGAAGATGGGAGAAGCCCCAGGTCCTCACTTCAGCCACGGCCTCTGATTCTCTATCTCCAGCTGCCCCACATCAGGGCTCTTGGTATCCGCTGCTGCCCGGGATGGTGTGCCGGGAGTGGGCTGCCGTCCAAGGAGCTCAGATCATAGGCTGGCAGTAACGGGTGGGTGTGCGAGCAGAGGCATTGTGGGCCTCTGTGCACCCTCCTCAATGCCCTTCTGTCTTCTGGGAGCTTCCCGGCAGTGGAGATGTGAGGCTCCCCCAGAGTCGAGAGAGAGAGAGAGAGAGAGAGAGGGAAAGAGAGAGAGAGAGAGAGAGAGAACATCATCCGCTGGAGATGCTCTTCCCCTTAACTCCCAGGGAGAAGTGCAATTTCTTTCTGCTGTTGCTTCTTTTTACTAGACTTCAAGCTCTCCCCTTAGGGTTTCCCTGTCGAGCGTGGTCCTCAGAATGAAGCCTTCCACCTTGTGTTCTCAGGATCACTCCCTGAGATGCCCCTCACACTTTTGCTGTGTTATCTCTCAGCTCCCACCCTAGGATTTCTATCATAGAGATAGTTCAGCCACATCCAAGATCCCCACTTCAGCCCCGGCAAGCAATGGAGAGAACCAGCTGACAAGCCAACAGGTGTGTGGTTACACAAATACTCCCAGGCCCTGAGGGGCCCACTCACCTCAGCCACCACAATTAGAAGTCAGCAGCTGGGGTACGCCCTATAGGCCTTGCGGCTCCCGCTGATGTAGCTGGCAAAATGCACCTCTCTGCCCTCCCCCAGGAAAAGGAAAATTTTAGCAACCACCTGAAGAAGCCAGAGCAATTGATCATTGAAGCAAGCTGCAAAACAGGATTGTCCTGGAAACCAAAGGAAAACACAAGAGCAGCTTTGGATGTGGTTCATAGAAATTCAGTTGCCCATCCAAACATTCGTGGATAGGGCCAAACTTACCACCTCTCACTGTGCACACACATTACAAGTGGCTTCATTTTCTCTGTATCCTGATTATCCCTGCCGACAGTGTTCAGGGAGGGGTGGTGCTGTGGAGGGAGCAGCAGAGACACACCTGGCACTGCATGTCCCCTCCTATTCCTTCCTCACACCTCCCCCTCCTCCAGGGGTCGACCCTTGCAGCACACACAATAAAGTTAATAACTATAGTTCCTTCCTCAGAATAGCACTTTAGAGACTACAGAGTATTTCCCTGCATTCACCAACTCTTTGCCAGTCCTCATCTAATGTGGTCAGGAGACTCAACGCAAATTGCTATAAGATCAACCCCACTCTTCTCCAGCTCAGCCCACCCCACTCCCAAAAGGGACATTGCAAGTGGTGGCATTGCTGGGAAATATTCGTTTAGAATGCAGGGGTCTTCACCATGCTCAGAAGCTGTTTGGTCCTGTGCTGGTCAGCAGGCTGCCGTTCCACCACGAGGAGAGGAGCTGAACTGCTGGGCTGTGGTGGTCCACTTGCTGTCCTGCCTTGTGGCCCATGGCTTCCCTGCAGGATCTTAGCTCCTGAGAAATAGGCAAAGAAGTGATCTAGAAGTGCACCACTCTCTCCCTTTCAGGCTCCGAACTCCCTTCTCGATGCCAGCACTGGCCTTTGCAGGCCAGGGGGAGCTGGACCATATGACTGGTGGCTCCGTTGCCTACAGCCAATTCTGAAGGGAAGGAAGAGACAAGTCCTGGTTAAGTGATCCCTGATTAGGCAAAGCCATGGTGGTCTTACAGCCCAAACAGGCCTGGGTTCCACCCAGTGACATAATTTATTTGCTGACCTGCCTGGCTCCTGGGACTGAGCTACAGAGAAGAAATGGAAACAGGAGTCCTCATCTGGGTCTCATCAGCTCATTGGCTATGGATCTCCTACACATCTGTCTTTGGAGTTTTGATCTCTGGTCTTTGGGGTGATGAGGAATACTATTAAGACTTTGTAGCATCGTGGAAGTATAAAAGAAAGGAGAGTCATGTCCCTGTTGGCAGGGTGCTCATAGTCACTGCCAGACCCGGCTCCTCCCACCTGGGAATGTCTGCCCTTCATTGAACTGTCAGTCTAGCTCCACTTCCATGTGGCTAAAATCCCTGCAGACTTAGTCCTCAGATGTGAAATGCCCACTGAGAGATATTAGAGATTGTCTGGTCTAGCCCACTAACTCCACATGTGGGGAGAAAAATACCGAGACCGAGAACTCCAGAGGCCAAGTGATTGGTCTAAAGTGAAGGTACGTGCCGAGAAGTGGCAGATTCAAACTGCGTGCAGGCCTCAGACCCCATGCCCTGGGCTCTTGCTCTCCTGCGGGACATTTACCCATGCTGTCAGTGTCCACCACCTCCAGACACATTTTCTCTTATTTTAACAGGTGAGCATGATCCTAACTCTGATGGTGCCATATTATGACATTGACACAGAATCCCCGCTCATGGAGATGTTTGTGGCCCATGGGTTCTATGCTGCAAAATTCGTAGTGGCCATTGGGTCAGTGGCAGGACTGACGGTCAGCTTGCTGGGCTCCCTCTTCCCAATGCCAAGGGTCATTTATGCCATGGCTGGCGATGGGCTCCTTTTCAGGTAAGGGTTACACTCTGTGGAACTGATTCTGTTCTGCCATGCCTGCACAGGGAGAATGTCACCTGCTGTCATCCTGACTGCAATTTTGATGTCGATGCCTGTCACCTAGACTGTGGAATTTGTCATATATCCTGACATAGATTTTGAGTTGAAAGAGATTAGCCCCTGAAATAGCCCCTCAGTTTGACTCTGGGTACCTCCATCAAGCACAAACTGATCTGTTCCTCTAACCACCCCCTCTCCCATTTGACATTGTATATTCCTTTGTAAAGATAAGTGGGTGCCAAACTGCAATACTGAGTGGCCTACAGAAGGAGGAACCCACCCCAGGGACATCTTAGACCTGCCCTCAAACTGAGGTCTGGCACCTGGCCCTCTCCACACAGCCCCTCTGAAATTGAGAAAGTTCGAAGTTATAATCAAAGAGAGAATAATAAACACCCTTTGAACAGGACCTAATAATAGTACCAATGAGAGCTACCATTGAATATTTGTGTATCCCTGGTGCTTTGTACACAGTATCCTATTTAGTCATCACAATAACTCTATTTTGCAGATGAGTGTAAAAACAAAAAACCTTGCCCCAAATCCCCCAGTTTCTGAGTGGAAGGACCAAGATTTGAACCCTGGATTGTCTGACTCCAAAGACCAGACTTTCAACCACACCAGTCTAGTGACAGTTCCAGACCCTTATCTTGACTGAGAAGTGGCCTATCTGGCCACAGTACAGAGGGGGTGTGGCCCCATCTTGTGGTTCTTGGTGCCCACCGTGTGAGGGCTTGCAGGGAAGGTATTCTCCTAGTGCACAAGAGAAAAAGTAAACCCCAGACAGCACCGAGCTCTCAGGGGTGCAGAGGGATCCAGCTCAGGGACTTCATCTCTGTCATCGTCTGTCATGCTCCAGTTCCTCAACCTACCCCTGAAGCCATCACCAGGTCCCAGTGGTGTCTGAGGAACTGGACAGATCAGGAAGAATCTGACTGTGGTACAGATGGGACAACTTCACATACCTGAAAGGTTTTTCTGCTGTCAAAGAAAATTAAGAGGAAAGATGCTGAGGCTTCACACACAGTTTATGGTCTTGTGAGAATCCTGAAAATAAGGGAGGAATGAAAGAGGAGGAAGCAGGCGAGGTCATGAAGAAAGAGAGCAGGAACCTACCAGAGGCCCACAGGAACTGCTAAGGAAGCAGCTGCCATTCAATCGCCCTTATTGATCTTCTCCAGGTGGTAACTGCCTGAATTTAGACTGTGTTAATTACTGTGCTATTTTACCAGCTAAATCCCTGTACTTTTGCTGTAGAGCAGTGCTTCTCAAGCTTTGGCATAAATCAGACTCTGAAGGGTTTTTTTTAAAACACAGTTTCTTAAACCCCACTCCCAGAGATTCTGATGTAGTAGCTCTCAGGCGAAAGCTGAAATTATGTGTTTATCATAAGCTCCGAGGCAATGCCAGTGCTGCTGATGCAAGGGCCACACTTTGGGTAACGAAGGTCTAGAGGACCCCAAGCAGGTGTATGACTTCTCCAGCTAGCACTTCCTCTCCGCAAAGCCTGAGTTTCCACTTAGGTTTCTGAAATACCCCCTGGATTCAGTCAACCCTTTACATCACATAATTGAGTAAGAACCTTAATAAAAAGAGTGTCTCAAAACCAAGGAATAAAAGTGAATTCTTTTTAAATTATATTCCAGGAACCAAATCCTAGGGTAGGAATGTCAGCTTTATTTAAAGCAATGAACTCAGAAGTCAGTTGGAGGGGTAGGGCCTGGAGGAATTAAGCCGTGTTAAAGTCCATTGCCATCGGTAGCCCACATTAACCCTGTACTTCGCTCACCCTCTAGGTTTCTGGCTCATGTGAGCTCCTACACAGAGACACCAGTCGTGGCCTGCGTCGTGTCAGGGTTCCTGGCGGCTCTCCTCTCTCTATTAGTCAGCCTCAGAGACCTGATAGAGATGATGTCCATTGGCACTCTTCTTGCCTACACCTTGGTCTCTGTCTGCGTCTTGCTCCTTCGATACCAACCAGAAAGTGACATTGATGGTTTTGTCAAGTTCTTGTCTGAGGAGCACACAAAGAAGAAGGAGGGCATCCTGGCTGACTGTGAGAAGGAAGTATGTTCTCCTGTGAGTGAAGGGGAAGAGTTTTCTGGCCCTGCCACCAACACATGTGGGGCCAAGAACTTACCATCACTGGGAGACAATGAGATGCTCATAGGAAAATCAGACAAGTCAACCTACAATGTCAACCACCCCAACTATGGCACTGTGGACATGACCACAGGCATAGAAGCTGATGAATCTGAAAACATTTATCTCATCAAGTTAAAAAAACTGATTGGGCCCCGTTACTACACAATGAGGATCCGGTTGGGCCTTCCAGGCAAAATGGACCGGCCCACAGCAGCTACAGGGCACACGGTGACCATCTGCGTGCTCCTGCTCTTCATCCTCATGTTCATCTTCTGCTCCTTCATCATCTTTGGTTCCGACTACATCTCAGAGCAGAGCTGGTGGGCCATCCTTCTGGTTGTTCTAATGGTGCTGCTGATCAGTGCCCTGGTGTTTGTGATCCTGCAGCAGCCAGAGAACCCCAAGAAGCTGCCCTACATGGCCCCCTGCCTCCCTTTTGTGCCCGCCTTTGCCATGCTGGTGAACATCTATCTCATGCTAAAGCTCTCCACCATCACATGGATCCGGTTTGCCGTCTGGTGCTTTGTGGGTAAGCAACTTCTTTTGGAGCCTTGAGAGTTCCCTTTTAAGGCATTGAACAGGCTTATCCCAAAATTACCTTCTTGCTGGACCAGGCATCAGCATTCCAAGAGAAATCTGGCTGGTTCTATGGATCTATGGACCCTTGCTTTCTGCATTAGAGGCAAGAAAGCCGGTTGTACTCTTTCTGCCTATTATGGTCTTGGTCGTTGGTTCTGAAGAATGATGCTGATCAATCCACCACTTCATTGAATGTTAATACTGGACATTCTATTCTTTTTATGGATAATTAATACCATAAAATCCACTTTAAATGAATCCATATTTTAAAAAGAGGGAAGTAACATAGTAAAAGTGAGGGTGGGAAAAGTTGATTGACATTCTATCTTATAAACTAAAAATTATGAAAAAATGTACTTTACATTTGAAAAAATAAATTAAAATAGGAACCACGCCATAATTTTTTAATGAGCAAAGTATAAATTAAGTGTGGATTTTTTGGCATCATTTTTTCCTGACAAAATTGCATTATGGCACCATTTAACATCCCTCACTTCATATTGACTTCTATAAACTCTTCAAGAGTTTTTCATTTTTCCCAAGGTCCTTTCTTCATCCTTTGATATTCCAATCCAATATTCCTTGGGAAGTACCCATCATACGTCATCCTTCTTCTGCTGGTGACCGATAGGACTTTGGTAGGTCCTCTGCTGTTCACAGCTTTGGGTGTGAATTAGAGTTGCTCTCTCTAAACTCACTTTCATTAGCTTCAAGAAGATCTGTATCTTTCCCAAGATTTCTAATTTTTCTTTGTGACTTATTTATATTATTTATATCGTATCTATTTTAACAATCACTGATGTTTATGAGATGGCTGGGATTGGTGCTAGTGGTAACTTGCGAAGGATGTTTAAGTAAAGCCTGTTTTAAAGTTCTTCCGTTACTATTTTTATGTTTGTTATACAACTTGGTAACCATAGGGTCTCTGGTAACAAATACTTAGCTAAGGAGGATCTTGGGTGCTTTGAGGAACAGAAAAGTAATAGAATCAGTAACCCCTGCCTTAATGAGAGGCAAAACAAATATGGGTGAATCAACTAGCCTGGGCAAGACGGTATAGAGACGCATCGATTAGTAAACCATCCACTCCTCGAGGTCAGAGATATGGTGTTCAATACCGTGTCCTCTGTGCCTGGAACATATAGTACCATGTGCCTAATAAATACATCTCTATGATTATAAGCACTCTTCAGATGAGAAACAAAGGAACTTCCTGTCACAACAGCCGGAAAGGACTTCGAGGAGGTAGAATTTGAACAGGGCCTATCAGGTAAGGTTTAGATAGAGGGAAGTGGGTAAAAACCTAGGATTCAAAGGAAAGGGCCAGTGTCCTCCAGCAGATTCCTCACCTCTGATGGCCATTCTGTGCCTTTCTATAAGCATTTTGTTTCCATTGTCCACTATTCTAGATCTCATCCCTTGTTAGACATTAGGGGGATTTTCCCAGAGGACATCACCACTTACTCATCAGGTTTTAACCATTTACATCATTTATTCACAATCTCTCTTCTCTGTTTAAACATTTTTCCACTGAACATGCAGCTAAGCAATAGAAATATTCTATTATGGGTAGAGTGACTGAAGTGCATACAAATATTTTAGTCATATATTTGTCAAATGAATGAAGGTACAGACAGAAAGATACATGATTTACTAATTCATTGCTAGACTATTAAAGCTGGAAGGGGCCTTCAATATCTAGGTTAGTGTTACCCGCAGTGTGGTGATCATTCTATTGGTAATATTTGGGCTGATTTTAGAGAGTATATGAATGAACTTTATAAAATATTATATATTTGTTATACATGTTCACATATACTAGAAAAAATACACATACTCACATAAATCTAGTGATTATTTTTAAATTTAAAAAGGGAGTCAAATGAGAAAAACATTAGCCCTGGCACAGGTGCTGTATGATCCACAGTAATAATTAACACATACAGCACTTATCACATATCAGCCTTTATTCTGAGGCTTTACTTGTAATATCTTATTCAATCCTCCGAACAATCTTTATTTTACAGATGAGGAACCTGAGGTATTTAACTGAGGTCACATCGCTAGTATATAGCAGAGCCAAAATCAGAACTCAGGCGTGCGGGCCCAGAGTCCCTGATCATGGCCACCGCACTAGAACGCGCTGCATGAGTAACTACACTTTGAGAAACTCGAACACAGGTCCCCACCTCCCCACTTCTCCCTCTCCCAATTTCACAGATGACTAAACTGAACCTCCGTGAGGTTAAATTTCATGCTTGATGTCAACAGGAATAACAGGAAATTATTCAAGAGCTATTGCTACAACCCAGTATCTCCAAGCTCAGATCTGGGGCTCCTACCTCCCTACCAGGGTGCCTCTGAGCAGACCTTTTTATTTGATCAGAATGTTTGATATGTAGCTTGTGTGGATTAACACACAACATCAGGGCTGGCTTTCTGGGCGTACCACCTGTGCCATCACAGGGGACCCTGCATTCGGCTGAAGGCCCTGTTGCCGCCTTCTCGAATTCTTCACAAGAAGCTCCGTGGTTGCATTTTGCACTGGGACCCACAAATTAAGCAGCTGATCCTACATAATATCTAGGGTTTATGGGATACCAAAGACATTTTGCAAAAGCGGTGAGGTGGCAGGGACCCTTGCCTTTGTGTTCAGACCCCAGGTTCAAATCACAGCTCTGCCACCTCTGTGTCTCGTAAGCTTGGGAAGTTCACTTAATTCCTTGGGGCCTCAGTGTACAGTTTACTCATCTGTAAAAATGCAGATAATTTCCCAGCCTTGATCTGGTTTGGGGCTTAGATAAGAAAATATTGGGGAAAGCAGTGAGAACTATTTCTATCTTACCTTTCTTTTAAAAAATCTAAAATGATTCATTGTCCCCCAGACTAGCTATCACACGCCAAAGTACAGCGTGAACCTGTTCTGACTCAGGCTGCCCTCCCAGTTAGCAGGCAGAAGAAAACTCCCAGAGAGCCTTTTATAATCTTGCTGATAGCACAAGCTTCAGGCTCGCTCCAGAAACCGATACTCCCTGCGGTGGGAGGAGGCCACCCTGCAGCCTGGGGCTGGCCAGACAGAGGGCACCGGAGATAGCAGTTCAACAAGCACCCAGCTGCAAGCTACTAACTGCTTTGGTATTGTGATCTTCGAAGGCTGGTGTATGGGTCTGTTTTGCCTAGAACAAAGATATACACACCCCAGAATCACCTGAGTTATTTCTAAAACATTCTATGTCCAGGATCTCCGCCACAGAGCTTTTTGGATTGTTGGTCTGCTATGGCCAATATTTGGTATATCTTTAAGCTCTCTCACGTCATCTTAATGTGCAGCTATGTTCAAAATGACCTAGAACAGTGGATCTCAAAGTGTGCTCCCAGACTAGCAACATCAGCAACACCTAGGAACTAGTTAGAAGTGCAGTTTGGGGCCCTATCACTACCAACACAGAATCTCCAAGGGCAGTTTAGATTTTAACAAGCCCTCCTGGTGGCTCTGGTGCATGCTCACATTTGAGAGCCACTCATGTGGAGCGAAGAATAAGAAGATATTAATAAGTAAGGCAAATAATTTAACTGCCCAGTTTGAAACAAACCCCTGTATGTTTCAAACTGATTTTTGCATGTATAAAATATATCCATCCCACAACCCCAAATTGGCTTATAAAATCTTTAATGATCTTATAGAATAAATACCCCACCTCTAAACTTCTGAGTCTCCAAAATGTCAGATTTTCTCATCTTAATCTCTATTCATAGTATAGCTTTCCTGGGGAGAACAGTAGAGATATTTTTAAATGGAGCTTCTTATGAAACATCAGGTACTTTTTCAAAAAGATTTATATGGTTAGGCTGAGTCATAATGTGATAATCTTCTTGGATACATTTTTTACGCAACCCTCTCTAAATGAATCTTAATTACAGCATTTTGTCACAATGTTTTGCTAAGCTTTGACCTTCAGAAGACACGACTCGTAGAATTCAATGAGGCACAAGTCCCAACAAGATTACCCGGCACCTGTTTCTTTTCCTTCAGCAAAGAGAAATAATTCAATAACAAATGTTTAGTAATCCCAACAAAATGAGCACAAAGTGGCCTTCATTCTCTTGTTCTCTTAGCTGATGCAGTTTTTTGAAGAACTCCTCAAGGAGTTGGGCAGAGTCTCAAGGGATAGGAAAGCAGGAGGGCCCAGTGAGGACACTGTGTGGTGGGCTTTTCACGAGCCTCTCTCAGGCCAGCTGTTCCCTACGTACGGGCCATTAATATGAATCAATGATCTGTTAGGTGAGTTTGTGAGCCCCCTGAACCTGGGGTCTGCCAAGTTTTCATCTGAAATGTTTTCAGTCCATCTGAGAAAAACCAATTCTTGTCTATAGCTTTAGAGACCAGATAGTACTTACGATTTGGGCAATGGAGCCCATATATCCCGTACTAAAAAATAAATATTCTGAAGAGCAGACACCACTTACGGTCTTTGAACTATCTGAAATCTTATTGGAAATTGACCAAAGTAGCCATCGTGATGAGGAGAAGAGGAGTAAAAGACAGAGACCATGAACTTGGACTTGAGAGGGCACCAAGATAAACAAACTCCTGATGGGATGTCCCATAAATAAGTTTGAAATTCTCCTGTAGGCAGAGGAGAAAACCACTGCACTTTCAACATCAGAAGAGCAAGAAAATCACAAAGGCCAGGCTGAGGAGGGCAACAGGGCCAGTGGGCTTCCAAAAAGGAGGGAAGGTGGAGGTGAATCCTGCAAGGGTCCAGGCTGCCTGCTGGCAGAGGTGCTCTGCAGGCCAGGGAGACACATGGGGAGGAAGTGGCAGGGAGAGGCCATGGTTCTGCACCCAGAACCATGGCGGCTGAGGACGCGAAGGGAGAGAGGACCATCGCAGAGATGGAAGACCGTGTAGTGGGGTATGCAGTGCACCTGGAACACACTTAGAGACAT